ACCTGCGAATTATTACTTCTTTAAGTAATTTTAAGTCTGAACTAAAGATTTTTCTGTTCTCTGAAGCTATCAGAGTGCAAATTGATATTTTTTTTTGATAGTCCAGACTAATGGTGCATTATTTGTCTATCTCTGTTCCTTCAAGTTATTTCCAACATAGGACGATCCTAAGGTGAACCTATCATGAAGGTTTCTTGGCAAGATTTGTTCAGAGGGGGGTTGCCTTTACCATCCTCTGAGTCTGAGCCCAAAGTCACCTAGTGAGTTTTCATGGGAATTGAAACCCTGGTCTCCAGGGTCCTAGTCTAATGCTCAGACCACTACACTACACTGTTTTCTTCTGCATTTATTATATATGTTTCAAAGCCAAATATTAGAGAGGAAACAGGGGAAAGAGCTGGAGGCGGTATGCACTTGCACCCATTATGCCCTTTGGAGCAAAGCAGGAGAAATGAGGTATGAACATCATAACTGGTGAGCCTTCTTCTTGAATGAGGCTTGTCAGCAGCCACATAGGACCTGGAAAAAACTCCCTGTGATCTCATGCTGGACCCTCCACAAGCCCTAGCAGCAGTGCAGAGACCCTACCATGAAGAAGGTAAGGTTGCATCTCAGTGTCATGCCCAAATCTCAGATGACAGCCACACGGAGGCTCTTTTTTCTCTTTTATCTCCTAAACACTTGAACTTTTCAGTTCAAATGGTTAAACATCCAGACAGTATGCAGCAGAATGGAACCTTACACAAATTAAGCCCTTCTTTTTTCCCTTCTTAACATGGATTCTGACCATAAGCTGCTACATGATATTCCCAGAAAGGATGTCTTCCTTGTGCCTTAATGGGACTTTTCATCAGCCTTGTGTCACAAGTAGGCTCATCAAGAAGGATGCCTTTTTCAATAATAAACATGGGGTGGAGAGACATAGATATATAACAGGATGTCAGTTACAAGTGGTTCGTGTTCAAAACAGAACACCTTAAACATGAGCAAGAGATAAAAACCTGGCTTTGACACAGTGAACAAGTTCCAAGAATTGGACCTAACTGTTCTTTATCTCAGAAATAAATCAGTTTTCACAAGACAAGTGCTGACCTGAGAAGGTGCTAACTGAGAAGCAACAACAAAATAGTTCCATAGATTGCTGAGTGGATATTTTGTTCCTGTTAAGTTTGATTATATTCTACCTATGTATGACAATTAAATAATAGGATTCATTGAAATTAAGTCTGGAAAAGGAGTTTGCACATGATTAGCTGGTGATTAGCCAAAATTACTTTGGGTGAAATCGAAGCGGCCCTTTGACATGTTGTGCATTGGATTGCTCCTTACACATAGAGGGCCAGGCAACTTTGATGTTTCACAAACAACAAATATGTAATCCTCCCTCACCCCTTTCTCTCCCTCTCTCAAGCAAGCAATCAATGAATAGTTGGTTTATGTAGTAGGTGATTTTGCTATAATTATGCCAGATACATGTTAACCTGCTTGCTTCATTTAGGACCCGCACAGACACTATGCTGAGCTGTTATACTATGTAAATTGATATAAATTTAGATTCCATTTATCTGGGATTGACCTTCAAAGTGGGCCTACATACACTACACTATAAATCTCTTAACCGATTAATGTTAGAACCAAAACATTTGAAAAGTTAGCTTTAACAATAAATACTTGCAGCTGGAGCAAAATTCAGCAGCCAGACTGGTGCTGGGCATGAATTTTAGAGACCAAGGGTGTATCCATACTGGAGAAATAAAGCACTTTGACACTATAACTGCTGTGACTAAATGCTATGGAATGCTGGGATTTGTAGTTCTGTGAGACATTTAGCCTTCCTTTTTAGAGAGCTCTGGTACAAATCCCAAAATTCCATAGCATTGAGCCAGGGAAATTAAAGTGATGTCAAATTGCTTTATTTCTGCAGAGTGGCAGGAGCTCAAATAGCACCAAACTTACAAGAACTGCACCTGGCTTCCAATGTGCTTCCAAGCTAAATTTGAATTGCTGGTTTCAACTTATTTTGCACAGATTCCACGTAGTATTGTCACCTGGAAAACCTGTGAAAGGTCAGTTTTCTCTGCCACTACCAAAACCCTGCTGTCATGCACGTATTGTACCCTGTGAAGCTTTTTTGTACATTAATTTTATGGAGTTTAAAGCAAGTCCAAATACCTGAGAGAGGTACCTGTCTGATGGGGGGGGGCTTGACATGGTTGCAAAATCTTTGTCCTCAAGGAGAGGCTCAGAGTTTAGTCATTATGGAGGGAAATGCACATATTCATTCTGGCTTTATTACTTGAGAGGTAGAAGAGTTCAGTGATTAAACATTTTGGGAAACATGCTGTTATGATGCTCATAGTCTGTTCATGCTATCACTCTGCTATTACTGTTGTTGAAGGATAGGAACATGGATAATTGCATGGATCTGATCTAGAGTATGCTATCAAATGGATATTTAGAGGCACTTCCTTCATTGAGTTCAGACTGATCCACCAAGGGCCAACCAAGGCCTTCCCCCATCTACTCTGATGTTGGGAGTGGCTCTTCAAGCCATTTGGGGAGTGGTCTTTCTCACAACTACCACCTGAGCCCTTCCAGCTGTCTCAATTTAATAGCTGAATTTTAGATTCAGATCGAGTGTCAAGTCTTTTCATTTCCTAGATTTTAGAAATGTGGAAATGATTGTTTTAATATGTCTGGGGGTGGAAGAGGAGGAAGAGTAAGAATTGGGGATGTCTCTCTTATTTTAAAACAATAGAGACCTTGCCTTTTATTTCTGGAGGAATATATTCATGAAGCCGCCAGAGTCTGACAAAACCAACCCTCCAGCAGCTTCTGAATTACCAAGGGCTTACATTTATGCATCTCTCAACCCTTGCCTGCTTGAACAAAGGTTATTCCTCAGGGCGCCACTGAGTGCTCAGCTATTCTGACCATCTGTTTCTTGAAATTTCTCTTGGGAGCACTTGTTTTACTTCTTCAGACCATCCCTTAAAGCTCTCCCTGGTTGTTAATACTGAGTGTCATAAACTCTGTGTGATCTTCCATGAAACAGTGAGAAGAGATGTTTTGTTACGGTGAATAACCTGCTGTTTTGGAGGTAGTGGTGAGGCAGACAGCCTGCTTAGTGGGTCACAAACCAAGCTGGGAAATGGTGATTTGCTTTAGCAGTTGTGTTGATCAGCTATAAAAACACAAGAAGCTTTTCAAAATACATCTCTCATAGCTGTGCTGTCTGATTCAGGACCTAGGAGAGGGCTAGCAGATGATGGAAAGTTGAAAGGAGTGAACCATTGGCTCAAGGATTCCCTCCTCCCATTTTATCATACAGTTCCATCTCACCATCACCATGAACAATAAGAATGGACATAATGATTGCCCAAAACATGGGGTATCCCATCATCCCAGGGCAAATGACTGTTTGCTAGAGCTTCCTGACTTTAGAGAATAAATAAATCTCTTCAGGGCAGAAGTGCACATTATGAAAAATGCATGGCTGTCATTGAAAAGAGCATCCTTATGTTGATTTCTTCTCCTTCTCTTTTAGAACATTGTATACTGGTAGATAAAGCTAAATATTTCTGTACTTCCTTCCAATGGCAGCAATTGAAGATGTGAAGTGAGGGGTGTTCAGTACATCATGGGTAAGAAACATGTGCCCTTCCAGATGTTGTTGGACTGTGACTCCTAGTGCTTCTCCCCATTGGCAATGCCAGCCAGAGCTGCTGGGAGCTGCAATTCAGGGACATCTGGTGTGCTCTAGGATTCCCATCCCTATGCTACAAGTTTGAAAGGAAGAGGAAGACAAATTTGTCCTGGATCTTCCATTTCGGGTTGAAGCCCAAAGTTCAACACAATCTGTACTCTTGTCCTCTCTTGCCACTTCTCCATTGCAAAAAGGAATATGAAGATCTTCAGATCTCCCTCTCCTTCTCTTTCTCTTGTATGAAACATTTTCAACAAATGAGATTGAGGCAAAAGCCAAAGAATGTTTTAATTCATGAAAGTCATGAACAGGCATCTGTATATTTGCTATAAGTACACATTAAACTTTCTGCTCCTTTAATCATAGAATCATGGAGTTGGGACTCACAGGCCATTGAGTCAAATCCCCATTCAATACAGAAACTCCAGCTGGCACATCCTCATCCTTAGTTGTCTTTTTGAAGAGGTCCAGAGAAGGAGAACCCACCACCTCTCTAGGTAATTGGTTCCATTTCCAAACTACTCGAACCATCAAAATGTTCCTTCTAATGTTCAATCAAAATCTAGCCTCAACTTCAAATCATTGGTCCTACCCTCTGGGGCAGCAGAGAACAAACCTGCCCCTTCCTCTGTGTGACAGCCATTTAGGCATTTGAAGAGTGAGATCATGTCACTCCTCACTCTTCTCTTCACCTGGCTGAACATGCACAACTCCTTCAACCTTTCCTCATGTTTTGTTCACCATGCCTCATATCAACCTTGCTGCCCTTCTTTGAATTCCTTTCAACTGGTCTGCATCCCTCTTAAAATGCCATTCTTTTTGCTCATTCCCATAGTGTGTGATTTCTATTGTATGTAAGTTTGTTATTTGTTAAAACTTAATAAAAAATAATTTTAAAAAATGAAGTGCCCAGAACTGAATGCAGTATTTCAGATGAGGCCTGGCCAGTGAAGAATATAGTGGGACTCTCACTTTCCTTCTCTTGGAAGGTTTGTTTAACGCAGGCTAAAGTATGGACGCTGCAGCAGGAGGTCCTCCTCGGAGCGCCGGCCGTGGGGAGGGCCGTCTGCTCCGACGACGACCTGGGGAAGGGGTTGGGGTGCCGATCATGCGGCTGCCCCTCCCCTTCCCTGCCCCCAAAACAGCCCAATTGGCCGTCTGCTTAGCCCCTTTGTTTCCAACTTGTGGTGGCCTTAAGGCAAACCTACCACTGGTTTTTCTTAGCAAGTTTCTTCAGAGGGGGTTTGCCATTGCCATCTTCTGAGGCTGAGAGATCTCATCCAGCGGATATTCATAGCTGAGTGGGGATTTAAACCCTGGTCTCTAGAGTCATAGTCCAGCACACAAACCACTACATCATGCAGCTGCTAAGGGAGAGCCACGTATTCCTGCCTTAGGCTCATGGGAAGAAAGACAGGATATATATTTGCTAAGAAATAAATAAAGGAACCAACTTAGCTCTGTCATTTGGCAGCAGAAGAAATTAGGAGAATAGCTTGTCAGGACATGATGAGGGAAATGTGAATTACAGACCAACTTTCACACTCCCTAGTGGCATAACAGAGCAATGAACCATGTGGTATCACTAGGCTTCTGCTCAGCTGATTTAGGCCAAATGTTCAGTCTTTTGTCTAAACTTACCTCTGCTACATCTTAATGCTTTTTCTAACTCCTGGTGTTTTGCATCATTCCTATCCCATTCATTTGATGCAGTTGCCCCTCAAACCCCGGACAACCATGTAAATCACACAGTTCCTAATGTACTTGTAAATCTTTTTTTTTTAAATCTAACATTTCCTCAGGCTGGGTAACTCCTAATTCTTCACATGAGTTTGCTATACTTGTGTTAGGCTAGTAATTGCTAAAACAAGGGCTGTTCTTTTCACAACTTGAAAGTGTGTAATTTCCTTTTTCTTTCCTATTAAGTTACACAGCTGAGGTGATGGTTCTGTGTGCATGTGTGTGAGAGAAAAAGCTTAGCTTCTTCCCTTCTGATTCTAGAATCTCAGCTCACAACGAGTTCTTTGCACATTTTTCTGAGCAGCAAAAAAACCATCCCCTAAAAACAACAACCCACCACCACCTTTCCATTGCTATTTTTTTAAAAAGGAAAACCTTGCAAACATTATTGTTTCTACATTACCCTTTGAACTCCACTCCCTGTCCTTTCTGCATTTGTAAGGAAGATAACACACCCACCATTGTCCATACTTCAGCAGAAGCAACACACTTGTGTTTTTTCTGGGAAGGCAAAAAAGTACTTCTCTGACTCGCATTGGGGCATTTGAGTAAAACAGATCTGAACCTTGAGTCTGTGAGCAAGTCTTCCCTGTATATCCCTACTATGCCCTGGACCGCTTGGGGAAAGCATCTATGGATGCTGTTGTTTCACAAATAAGGTTGTTTTGAAACAGATCGCTCTTGACCCAGATTCAAAGGAAAGTGCAACTGTGCCATTTCCATCTCCCACACACCCGCTCATGCCTGCACCTCCTTCACCTTTCTCAGTAACCTTTACTCCCATTCTTGCCTTTTTCACTATTTGCAGCCACTCAATAAGTTACTGCTCCATTAAGCTTATTTCTCTAGGGTTTTTTTTTAAAGGGAGGAACTTATTCAGTCCATGACATTCCATTCATGTGTAGGCATAGCTCTGACCTGAAACGGGGTTTGCCATTCCACTGCAACATACCCTGAATGCAGATAAATTCAGCCCAAGAGAGCATACACAAATTAAAACAACACCTTTCATGTTTACAGAAATGTTACCCTGTTAGTCTGCTTTGGCATAAAAAGATATAAAGGAACCCTGTAGCACCTTTTGAGAATGAGAAAAAGAAATTTCTAACATCAGTGCATGTCACAAAGATGTAAGCTAGAAATGTCTTTTTCTCATTTTGTGCTAATAAGGTGCTACAGGATTCCTTTATCATATTTTATGCATGTTATGAAGGTTTATGACAGGGGTAGGCAACCTTTCCCCTTTAGGGGCCGAGGGACTTCAGCTCCCAGAATCCCAGGAGCTATTGGCCAACATGGGACTATTGGCCAACATGGCTGAGGCTTCTGGGAGCTGAAGTCCCTTGGCCCTTAAAGGGGAAAGGTTGCCTACCCCTGGTTTATGAGGTTCCAGTTTACTAAGTAAACTCAGGCTAAGTTCTGTATTATTGTTAAGGGATGGATAGGGTAGCAAGATTTTCTGGACTTTTTCTTTAGCACACCCTGAAATGAACTAACTCTGGCCTGCCAAAACTTGTGCAAGATTTGAAACTAATTTCATGCTAGCCTAGACACTAAGCTGAGCATGGTTATGCCTAGATTCCTCTGATCACTACTAGGCTGGACTTACTTAGCTTGCTGCGTTCCAAATGTATTGGATCACAACCTCCATCATCCTTGGCCAGCATGACCATGTTCCCTCCACCCCACCCCGGTATCTAAATCCTTTGGACAGATGTTAGGCACCTTGAAAACTACCAGTTGTTAACAACTACATTTGGTTGACAGACTTTTAGGTAAACCCACTTTAACAATCTTTTTTTTTTTTTTTGCAAATCAATACTTATATATGTCCCACTGATGCAATGGATCTGTTCTTGTTAGGAGTAAAGATTGTATTTAGACCCTGATTACCAATATGGCTGAAAACAATGCAGCCTTGGGAAAGCTACATTTTCCAGAGAACTTGGGTCAGAAGCTTTCCTTGCACAAACATACTCCTAATGATGTAATTCAGAGAGCAATGAATTCTGAATAAAGTTCAAATTTGGGTTTAGAATAACAGATCTATTTTCATCAGAAGAACAGTTCAATTTGTTCCAACCAAAATCCACCAGAGTGGAGTAGGTGAGATGGTGATTTGCATGTTTCTAGGAAAGGATACATGCTAAATAATAAAACTGAAAGAGCTATACAGTGATGCATAGTGAAACGAGCCAGTAGTGATATTGATTAGTGAAAGGCCACATAAATTTAACCAAGACTGTGAGGAAATAGAAATACTCAAATATTTCCTGTACTTTGGATCAAATATTGATCAAAATAGAGACCCATGTCAAGAAATCAGAAGAATACTTAGAAGGGGGGCTATGAAGGAACTAAACAAGGTCCTAAAGAGTAAAGATATACAATTGAACACTAAAGTCAGAATTGTCTAAACCAAAGTGTTCCTCATCAATATGTATGGATGGGAGAGCTGGACAGTGAAGAAAGTAAATGGGAAGAAAATAAACTCATTTGAGATGTAGTGCTGGAGAAGAGTGCTGAGGATACCATGGACAGCCAAAAGACAAGCAAATGGATCCTAGAACAGATCAAGCCCGAACTCTCCCTGGAAGCCAAGATTATGAAACTGAGGCTGTTGTACTTTGGCTGCATCATGAGAAGGCACAAGTTACTGGAAAAGACAATAATGCTAGGAAAAGTTGAGGGTAGTAGAAAAAGAGGAAGGCTGCACGCCAAATAGCTAGACTCAATCAGGGAAGCCATGGGCCTGAATCTTCAGGACATAAGCAGAACAGTGGAGGATAGGGAGGCTTGGAGATATCTTATCCAAAGGGTTGTGATGAGTCAGGGTTAACTGGACGGCAGTTAACAATGAACGACAAAGGTGCAATGTTGCCTGCCAGTACCCACACAGCCATAAAACTGTCAAGAAATCTCAAGGCCATTATGGACCTTTGCAGACTGCCAGAAATAATGCAAATTATGGCCACTTTAATTGCCCTGTCTCAGTGCTAGGGAATCATGGGAACTGTAGTTTATTGGGGCACCAGAGCTCTCTGACAGAGAAGGCTCAATGTCTCAGAAAAAAAATGCAAGTCCCATAATTCCCTAGCACTGAGCCAGGACAGTTAAAGTGGAATCAATTTGCACTATTTCTGGCAGTCTGCAAAGGCTCCTAGTCAAAACTCAGTGGTATTCAAATATGAAAATGAAGGAGGTACTCTGACTTAAATGCAATTTGTCCCACAGATAAGAAAGTTTACTTTCCTTTAGAAGTGAAAATGAGCTGT